AAGGGCCTTAATGTAAATGAGAATTAGGCCTCGCCAAAGTCTCCTTGCAAGTTCTGATGAAACCTGAATTATTTCTGGAGTGAACAACGTCTGCAATATTTACAAGATGTGCTGGTGGCAAACAATACACTATGTGTATACACAGCCTCCATCATGGACAGACACAATTCACCTTCACTCTTTCATGTACACTTGACACATACACACACAGCCATACAGGGGCACGCACAAACCTTCTGTAGGTCATCTAGGCTAGCCAACTTTCTAATGGCAGGAAACCAAACACCCTTGCCCCGCCCCTTCCCTGAGACCCCCGCCCCTTCTCTGAGGCCCTGCCCCTTCACCGAGGCCCCAGCCCCCCCCCGCTTACCCCATCCTCCCTCCCTCCGTCGCTCACTCTCCCCCACCCTCACTCACTCGCTCACTTTCACCGGGCTGGGGCAGAAGGTTGGGGTATGGGATGGGGTGAAGACTCCGGCTGGGGGTGCAGGCTCTGGGGTTGGGCCAGGGATGGGGGTTTGGGGTGCAGGAGGGGGCACCGGGCTAGGAGGTGAGGCTGAGGGTTTAGGATATGGGAGGAGGCTCCAGGTTGGGGCAGGGGGTTGGGGTTAGGGTGTAGGAGGGGGTGAGGGCTCAGGCTGGGGGTGCAGGCTCTGGGGTGGGGCCAGGGATGAGGTGTTTGGGGTGCAGGAGCGGGCTCCGGACTGGGGGCATGGGACTGAGGGTTTCAGAGTGTGGGAGGGGGCTCCAGGATGGGGCAGGGAGTTGGGATGTGGGAGGAGGTATGGGCTCTGGGCTGGGGGTGCAGGTTCTGGGGTGGGGCCAGAAATGAGGGTTCAGAGTGCAGGAGGGGGCTCTGGATTGGGGTATGGGAGGGGTGAGGGCTCCAGCTGCATGTGTGGGCTCTGGGGTGGTGCTGGGGATGAGGGGTTTGGGGTGCAGGATGGGGCTCAAGGCTGGGGCCGAGCACTTCGGAGTGCAGGAGGGGGCTGAGTGCTGGGGCAGAGAGTTGGGACGTGGGAGGAGGTGCGGGCTTTGGGAGGTCCTTCAGCAGCCCCATTCCCAGAGCGCCTTGCATCACTCGAAGACAGGGATACCTCGAACTCCTGGTGCCGGCAATGGTGTGACCGAGCACAGGGTAGCCGCAGGGGCACGCACTGCAGCCGGAGGCCAGCCACAGGAGTGTGAGAAGTGGGCAGCAGTAGGAGCTTCGCATGCCATGGCCCCTCAACAGCCAACTCCAGCTGGAGCGCTCGTGGCCTGACACAGCCAATGGGAGCTGTGCCTGTGGGCGAGGAACGGGGACAGCACGCAGAGCCCCCCTGGCTGCCCCTCCACCTAGGAGCCAGACATGCCGGCCGCTTCCCAGGAGCCACGCGGAGCCAGGCAGGGAGCCTGCCAGCCCCACTGTGCCACCAATCAGACTTTTAATATCCCAGTCCGCAATGCTGACTGGAGCCGCCAGGGTCCCTTTTCGACCAGGTGTGCTGGTCAAAAACCGGACACCGGAAACCCTAACTCCATACTCATCAACAGCCATATATATTTCATTGAAATAATATTCAGAGGCAATTAGAAACTCACAAAAAGAAAATTACAATTGAGCCAAGATTTATGGTATTCCGTGAGCTGGGCTAAGAGGCATGATCTGAGCACAGATGGGGGTTAGGAACTCGTGAGTTAATCTCTGATCCTTCTGAGGCCTTGGGCAAGTCATTTCCACCTGCTCTGCCTTAGTTTCCCCATCTGTAAAACAGGATCCTGAAATTTACCTACCCCCTTGGTTTGTTGCGATGATAAATGTTCGCCAAGTGCTTCGAAGATGGAGAGCGCTGTGCAAACGATGACACTGGCCTTTGTGCTTTGGAGCTGTGCCAAAAAAAAATCAAATTTCCAAACGTGGGTGCCTAGATGCACCTTTAGGCCTGGAATAAGTCACCTGATTTGCGGGTGCTCAGAAGCTCTGGAAACGGGGCCACTTATTTACCTGCCTAAATATTGATGCAATTGCCTGTCTTTAAGCACCCATGACATGTTTGCCTCCAGCATCTTTGAAACCAGCACTAGGAAGCTGGTATGAAAATCCCACAGCACTGAACCCGAGTGTACGTGGCAGGGTAAATATTTGTTTTCCCACCGTGGGCTAATTCTAGGTTCTTTTGCTTTGAGTGGACCACAGCACTGGTTTCTCTCTCCACCCCCCCCCCCAACCCCCCCACACACAGAGGAACCCTGGGCTCTCTAGTACTTAGACACCACAGGCCTGAGCTAAGGTTGCTATGGCAAACGTCCTTGGCATCTCTCTGATTTTGTGAGTGCTCAGAATTGTGAGTGCTCAGAATTGTGAGTGCAAGGAACACACCTCACCCAGTCACATCCCCATGGCCAAAGCAATGTGTAGCCAAGAGCCGGGCGGGTGTCTGCTTGGGAGGCAGCCCCATGGCTGATGGGCATTGCAGAAATGGCCCAGGTGAGGCTGTGGGAAAAGTGGTCTCCCTGTGGGTGAACTCTGAGCTGGTGTGTGTGTGTGTGTGTGAGCTCTGGGCTGATCTCTCTGTGTGTATATGTGTGTGTGTGAGTGAGCAAGCTCTGAGCCACTGTGTGTGTGTGTGCGTGCGTGCATTTGAGCGAGCTCTGAGCCGCTCTGTGTGTGTGTGTGTGTGTGTGTGTGTCCTCTGGGCTGATCTCTGTGTGTGTTTGTGTGTGTGTGTGCGCACGTGTGGTGTGTGAGCGAGCTCTGAGCCACTGCGTGTGCGTGTGAGAGACAGAGCGCTCTGGGCTGGTGTGTGTGTGTGTCTATGTGAGAGCTCCGGGCTGCTCTGTGTGTGTGTGTGAGTTCTGGGCTGTTCTGTGTGTATGGGAGAGACAGGGCTCTGGGCTGGTGTGTGTGTGTGTCTATGTGTGAGTTCTGGGCTGTTTTGTGTGTATGGGAGAGACAGAGCGCTCTGGGCTGGTGTGTGTGTGTCTATGTGTGAGTTCTGGGCTGCTCTGTGTGTGTGTGTGAGTTCTGGGCTGTTTTGTGTGTATGGGAGAGACAGAGCGCTCTGGGCTGGTGTGTGTGTGTGTCTATGTGTGAGTTCTGGGCTGCTGTGTGCGTGTGTGTGAGTTCTGGGCTGTTTTGTGTGTATGGGAGAGACAGAGCGCTCTGGGCTGGTGTGTGTGTGTGTCTATGTGAGAGCTCTGGGCTGCTGTGTGCGTGTGTGTGAGTTCTGGGCTGTTCTGTGTGTATGGGAGAGACAGCGCTCTGGGCTGGTGTGTGTGTGTCTATGTGTGAGTTCTGGGCTGTTCTGTGTGTATGGGAGAGACAGAGCGCTCTGGGCTGGTGTGTGTGTGTCTATGTGAGAGCTCTGGGCTGGTGTGTGTGTGTCTATGTGTGAGCTCTGGGCTGTTCTGTGTGTATGGGAGAGACAGAGCACTCTGGGCTGTGGTGTGTGTGTCTATGTGTGAGTTCTGGGCTGTTTTGTGTGTATGGGAGAGACAGAGCGCTCTGGGCTGGTGTGTGTGTGTCTATGTGTGAGTTCTGGGCTGTTCTGTGTGTATGGGAGAGACAGAGCGCTCTGGGCTGGGGTGTGTGTGTCTATGTGTGAGTTCTGGGCTGGTGTGTGTGTGTGTGTCTATGTGAGAGCTCTGGGCTGGTGTGTGTGTGTGTGTGTGAGTTCTGGGCTGTTCTGTGTGTATGGGAGAGACAGAGCGCTCTGGGCTGGGGTGTGTGTGTGTCTATGTGTGAGTTCTGGGCTGGTGTGTGTGTGTGTCTATGTGAGAGCTCTGGGCTGCTGTGTGCGTGTGTGGCTGCATGTGTGTGCGCGGTGGGCTGATGGAGCCGCCCGGGAGGGGGAGCAGCACACGCACCGGCAGGGGATGAATCCCCGCATCCTCTCCTCAGTGCTGTCAGGGCAGGAGAAGCCGCGGGACCGGGAGCCGCAGCCCGCAGCGGGACAGGGCGATCGGGATCGGCGCATCTCGCTCCAGCAGCAGTGGGGTAAAAACAGCGGGACAGGGGCACCCGCCCAGATGCAGGAGAGTGGGCGGGCGTGGGGGGGAGGGGCTGAGAGAGGGGCAAATCCATCCATTTGCAGTGGGGCAGGGCAGAGGGAGGGGCACTCCCAGCAATCTGCAGGGGGGTAGGGACGGGGCATCTCCAGGCGGTGCCGTAGGGTAGGGACCGGGGCCATTCCAAGCAGTGCAGTGGGGTAGGGACGGGGCATCTCCAGGCGGTGCAGTGGGGTAGGGACCGGGGCATCTCCAGGCGGTGCAGTGGGGTAGGGACCGGGGCATCTCCAGGCGGTGCAGTGGGGTAGGGACGGGGCATCTCCAGGCGGTGCAGTGGGGTAGGGACCGGGGCATCTCCAGGCGGTGCAGTGGGGTAGGGACCGGGGCATCTCCAGGCGGTGCAGTGGGGTAGGGACGGGGCATCTCCAGGCGGTGCAGTGGGGTAGGGACCGGGGCATCTCCAGGCGGTGCAGTGGGATAGGGACCGGGGCCATTCCAAGCAGTGCAGTGGGGTAGGGACGGGGCATCTCCAGGCGGTGCAGTGCGGTAGGGACCGGGGCCATTCCAGGCGGTGCAGTGGGGTAGGGACGGGGCATCTCCAGGCGGTGCAGTGGGGTAGGGACGGGGCATCTCCAGGCGGTGCAGTGGGGTAGGGACCGGGACATCTCCAGGCGGTGCAGTGGGGTAGGGACGGGGCATCTCGAGGCGGTGCAGTGGGGTAGGGACGGGGCATCTCCAGGCGGTGCAGTGGGGTAGGGACGGGGCATCTCCAGGCGGTGCAGTGGGGTAGGGACGGGGCATCTCCAGGCGGTGCAGTGGGGTAGGGACCGGGACATCTCCCGGAGGGGGTGGGGCGGAACAATGGCTCGGGGAGGAGCCGCGGGATGGGGCCCCTCCCGGTGGGCTCGGAGGAAAGCCCCTTCCCTGCGCCGGGGGAAGGCAGCGATTGCCGGCCAGGACCGGGTCCCGCTGCCTCTCCAGCCTCTTACCCTCCCCCTTGCAGAGCCGCGATGCTGCCCTGGCGCAGGAACAAATTCGTGCTGGTGGAAGCGGAGCGCCGGGGCAAAGCGAAGAGCCTGGGCCCGGGGCTGAGCTACGCCTCCCTGCTCTCCAGCTTCCTGCGCTCCTGCCCGGACCTGCTGCCCGAGTGCCCGCTGGAGCGGCTGGGCAGCGTGTTCCGCAGCCGGCGGCACAAGGTGGAGCTGAACCAGGAGGACCCCACCTACACGGCCTGGTACCTGGGCAACGCGGTCACGCTGCAGGCCAAGGGCGAGGGCTGCACGGACGAGGCGGTGGGCAAGATCTGGGCCAAGAGCGACGGCGGGGCCAGCGGCACCAAGGTGAAGCTGACGCTGGGGGCGCACGGCATCCGCCTGGCCCCCTGCGAGGCGCGGGGCGGCGCCGGCGGGCGGCGGCCGGGCCACGCCTACCTGCTGCCCCGCATCACCCACTGCGCGGCCGACGGCCGGCACCCCAAGCTCTTGGCCTGGGTCTACCGGCACCAGGTGAAGAACAAGGCCGTGGTGCTGCGCTGCCACGCCGCGCTGCTGGCCAAGGCGGAGACGGCGCGGGCCCTGGCGCGGCTGCTCCACCAGACGGCCAGCGCCGCCTTCGGCGACTTCAAGCGCCTGCAGAGGCTCAACGACTCCCGGCGCCTCCAGCGCCAGCGCCTGGGCGACGCCGTCGTGCCGCGGGTGCCCGCCCGCAAGCTGCTCCACGGGCAGTGCCCCTACCGGCCCCGCGCCGACCGCAGCCGCGGCGCCCGCCGGCTCAGCTCCATCCTGGAGGAGGAGGAGGGCGGCGGCGAGGAGAACCTGGGCGGCTCCCGCAGCCCGGCGCCCTCCGGCGGCGGCGGCGGCAAGCCTGCGGCTGCGGGCGCCAGCGCCCCGCAGCGCCGGGAGCGGGCCGAGGTGCTGACGTTAGCCCGGGAGATGAGGGGCTGGAGCCTCCGTTCCCCGGCGCCCTGGAAGCCCGCTCGGGAGGGACCCTGCTGGTCGGGCTGCTGAGCCCCGGAGGCTAGAGACAGCCCCGCTGCCGTGGCGGAAGGGCCCGCCTGGCTGGGGTGAGGCTGGGCAGAAGGAGGCTGGAAACGCCACCTGCAGCTGGGCCCCTGCCCGGTGCCCCTGGCTGCTGCCTTTGCAGCCGGGGAGAGGCAGATCGCCAGAAGCGGACAGCAGTCAGCGGGCCCCGCGGGCTGGCGGGGCTCGCACACAGATAGACTGACCTACCCTGCCTGCCCTTAACACTCCTTCACTCCTGCCATCCGAGTACGGGCACCGGCTCCGACCTGGCCCTTTCCCCTGATCTTCTTCTGAGCGGACACTGAAATGATCTCGACCGGTTGGTGCATATATCTCCATCTCTTACACACACACACACACACACACAGACACTTGCTAACCGGCTCAGAGAAAGACTGCCCTGACTCTAATGACTGGCATCAAAGCCATGGGCTGGCTCCTGCTAAACTGAGACATGCCCGCACGTTCTGGAAGGGGGAAGAGTTCCCTGAATGGGCAGCTGGCAGGGAGCAACTCTTGTGTGTATTTTGTACTTCCAGTGATTTCAAGAGAAAGAGAGAGAGAGAGACACACACAAACTGCGGGTGGGGGATTATATTTCCATTTCAGCAGAGGGAAGGAGAAGCTGGTCCAGCTGAAGTGACTTTTACTACTTGATCTAAACTAAAATTTATATATTTTAAAAAAAGCCATCTATTTACAGAGAGATGCCCTTAGATTTCACTTCTATTACAACATGCAATTTTTCTGTACAGTTTTGTACATGTCACATAGGACAGGTGCCTGTATGTGTCTGACACTGGCGAGGGGATGTGGTTTGGGGATGGCATGTACAGCACTATGGGGCTGAGGGTTTGATTTTCAAAGGTGCTGGGCCCCCACAGCTCTCCAGAAGGGGTTGTGTGAGTGCTCCAGAGCTCTGCAAATCAGGACACAGTTACATGGCTAAAGATAAGTGTCTAAATTCATATTTAGGTACCTAAATAAGCATCCTGATTTTCAGTGATGCTGAGCACCAGTTGTCTTTGATGGGATTTGGAGAAGTTCAGCACCTCTGAAAATCAGCCCTCTTTGATTTCGGTAGCTAAAGGAGGGTTTAGCTGTCTACAATTTGGCACCCAAGTTTGGAAAATTTGGCCCTGGGGTGCCTAGCTGTGTCTTAAGGAGATGGGCTATAGAACACCCAGGAGCCAAATTCTTCATCTTGTTTTGGCTTCAACGGGGTTACATCGCGGAAAGATTTGGCCCACATGTGTGCGACTCTGGGGATGAGATGCAGAGCATCACACAGAGAGCACACACACACACACGCATATAATGTGGTAATTGTAATAAAGTTTCTCTGCGTGTTCTGCAATATGATTACTGTGCTTTATCTTTTGTAAACATTTAGCTGCCATTGTATCTCAAGAGCAGTAGTAGCTGGAACACAAACCAGCTCAGTGCTGGGTGAGGAATCGGGCTTCTATCTATTGATCTATTTCAGAGTTTTATACCGCTGGCCTTCACAGTCGTATCTGAGTGCCTTCCTGTCAAATTAATAGTGGTATCAACATTCCTAGTGGTCTTCATGGAGACTCTGGCACCTCTCCCTTTATGGGGTCCAGTCTAGGTTCTGGACCAGGAGGGTCATTTGGCTAGATTGCGTACCAAGCACTGATTATAAATGAGGGATTTTACTGCTCTGTTGGGATGGTGATGATGATGTTTGCATGGGTGTGTATGTGGGCGAAGATTTGTTTGCTAAAAGGGGGTTGTGTGTGATTATTTGGGGAGGGTGCATGTGCATATGAATCTGTGTGATTGTGTCTCTCGGTGTGTGCCTATGCGTGTATCTTTTCCAAATGTGTACTCACACTTTGTGTGCATTTCATGTGTCTGCCATGTGCACATGTAGGAATATAGCTATACATTTGGCTTCAAACTGGGGAGCTGTAGCAGGATGCCCAAAGCCCACATGATGATGTTCAAATTAGCATGTACCGCCAGTAAATTACCTGCAAGTGCATAAATACCTCCTCTAAGTGCCAATTTCGATGACCAAATGTGGGATGTGGCTGTCCCATTCAGGCACTTGTTTGACAACACAGCCCTGTATTTCTCTGTGTGCTGTATGCAGGGTAGATTGTAGACATGAGAGCATCTCACCCTTTTTGTGTGGCGCTCTCTGGAGATCAGCCCCTAGCAACCAATTTCCAGAAAAGAGAGAAACTCTGGAATGATTCTGTGCCCTAACATGGAGGAACATACCGGAGTGTATTGCAGAAGGAGGAGAAAGCGGGCAGGGGTAAGCAGTTTTGCAAGCAGACAGCTGCCTTATTCCCACGCTTCCGTGGCATTTATCTCTGCTCTTGGGAGGAACAAACAGCTCCTGAAAAAACAAAACCGAGGAAAAGTCGTGACATGCTTTTAAAAATCCACATTCCCTCCTGACGGCAACGGAAGTTCTAGAAATGATGTCAAATAAGCAGCCGTTTCCAGTGGCCATGGCAACCGGCATTTTTAAAATCATGAGGCAAATGCCTCTGTGGCTTAACTCCACCCCCTGCGAGGAGCTTCCACCAGGGAGGGACTGGTCACATTTAAGCTAAGAAGATTGTTTTCCTCTTTCCCTTTATTCCTCTGCCTTTGAGGCATGTGGGTTTTATTAAAAGCTTATTTGCTTTGTGCTGAGTGACGGGGCTGAGAATCGGATGTTAGCCTTTCACTGGGATTCAGGCTCACATCCCCAAAGCAGGGGCAAGGCCTGGGGGACATTATTATTCCTCTAGTGCTGGTGACATGCCCTCCACTGTTGTTGAATACACAGACAAAGACACATAGCTGCCCCGAGGAGCTTACAAGGTGGATGTGTGGCCAAAGTCCAGCCCGAGGTGTATTGGTACCCTAAGAACTTGGGGGAGAGGGGCTAACCCACCAGTTAACAAAGCAGCTCCCTGTCCCATTTTTGTCCCGACCCAGTGGTATCGGGAACTGGGTTATTGGCCAGCTGGTCTCTCCACCTGACCTAAACATGATGGGATGGTCAGGGCTGTATTCTTGGGGAGTTGGATGCGAGGGGGGGAATCTGGCTGCATCGCTCCATGGGGGCCCACTCCAAGGAGCAACCAAGAGGCCTGTCTGCTGCTGCCAGACAGCTCTCCTGCATTCTCCGCATTGGTTCCAGGCTGAGGCAGAGGAGGAGAGGATGGAAAGTAACTGAAGGCAGAATCCATGCAAAATCCCCAGCTCTGTGTGGCTGGTACCTTGAGCCTGGAACTCAGTATGAAAGTAGCATAGTTCCCATCCCCACCTAATTCAAGACTTACAGACCCTTTCTCTGTTGTAGGCAGTGTTGCTGCAGTCATGTGTGGGTCCCAGAATATTAGAGAGACAAGGTGGGGGAGGTCATATCTTTGATTGGCCCAACTTCTGTTGGTGTCAGAGACAAGCTTTCGAGCTACACAGAGCTCTTCCTCAGGTCTGGGAAAGGTGCTCCGAGCATCCCTTAGAATATGTGCTAACTCCTTAGGTTAAACAATCTGTTCCACCTTGCTGAGCTGTGACCCTCGGCGTACCTCCCCGGACCTGAAGAAGAGCTCTGCGTGGCTCAAAAGCTGGTCTCTCTCACAAACAGAAGTTGGGCCGATCAAAGATATGACCTCCCCGACCTTATCTCTCTAGTATCCTGAGACCCACACACGATAAATCGACCCCTGAGCGCTCTCCCGTCAACTCCTGTACTCTGGCGCCATGAAAGGCGCAGGCGGAGTCGATGGGGGAGTGGCAGCAGTCGACTCCCTCCTGTGGAGGCACCAGGGTAAGCCGATCTAGTACGTCGACTTCAGCTACGTTATTCACGTAACTGACGTCGCGTAACTTAGATCGATCCCCTCCAGTGTAGACCAGGGCTAAGACCCCCTCCTCTCACAGAGAGGAGAAGCATTCTCAGCTGGCTGACTTTCCTGTCTGTGCCTAGCCTAGCCCTGCGTGTGGGCCTGGCCTGACCAGAAGTGGAAGGTATTTAGCTCCCAACTAGACACAATAGGAACATGGAAGGTACATGTTTAACTTGTAACCCTTTCCTTGGTGCAGACACCTAAGGCCATTAACTCATCACATGCTCGTGCCTAGCAAAAGGAATCTTAACCCCTTTGAATGCTTCCTGATTTCCAGGTGGGTGACACCTGGCCAGGGGGTGCATGCCTTGGGAGCAGGTAGAAGGAGGATTCTGGTGGCTGGTACAATAGGGGGCTAGGAGGATCTGGATTTGGAAGTGAAGTGTGGTCTTGCCTTGAGGAGGGGCATTTGGTGGCAGGTTAGACAGCTAATGCAGAGTCAGGGTACCTCTCTGGATAAGTCAGGCCTGCACACGTAAGTGATCGTTCTGGCAGCTGGGAGGAGGCACCAACATGTCCTGGGTGGATGTCCAGGATTTTAGAAAGAGGGTTAAGGCAGCTGGTTAGAAGATCAAGGACCGCATTACAGGAAGGATTTGGCAGTTTGTTGCCAGGAGGTGTGGGTGGGGGATCATGGTGGGATCCAGCAGCTGCATGAACTTACAGATGAATTTGCAGACTCATCCCCAGCATCCTAAGGTTAAGATTCCTTTAAAAGTAGAAACTTTGCTAGGGCTAAAGCAGCCCTGATCGCTGCACATGGCTTAGAAATCACACTCCAGCTCTCACCTCTTAGAGATTTAATCAGCTAGAGGCAAGTCAGTGCAGCAGCCATGGCAAGCGTCAGTCAGACAGGAACACATCCCTGAAGGATGCGAAGCAATCAGAGGCAAAGGAGAACTCCCGGATACGTTGCTTGAGAACATTCTCCTTCCATTAGTAGATTGCTGCTTGTCCCTGGAGAGCTTAGAAGAATCTCATGTGCCATAGAACTTCAGCTGCTTTGACTTGTCAGAGACGTGGCCACGGGGTGTGACCCTAACACATCTGAAAGCTGAATATGGTTAGGTTAGACCAGAACTAGGACAGGAGATCTGCAAGGGCCACCTCGCTGTTTTAAGGTGGGGCTGGTGACTCATGAAGTGCTACTTTTCCGTCTGGGCTGATATTGCACTGACATCCCATCGTGGTGTTAGGGGATGCTGTCCTGCTGGAGGTATCTATCAGTTTCAGACCAAATGAGTACAGCAGGTGGAGAACAGCTGTATGGCCCAGGTGCAGCTGGGCAGAATGCACCTACCTGCTGAGTGCTCTTGGCGTTCCATTCATTTCTGATTTATTGGCATTTCTGTTAGCACGCTGTTAGCACAAATGTGATCGTCATAGATAATGACCAGTGAGATGAAGGATGAGCAGTGAAAGGGTTAAAGGTTCGCTTGGGGGATCCCACTCTAGAGAGTGTTGGCCCCCAATGGTTTCTGAGTGGGCCAGTCCAGAGGGAGCGCAAGTGGATGGAAGAATACAGCAGCTCTCAGGCTGGCTGCTCCCCACGGTTTAGCACAGTGGAAGGACGTGCTTGTGTTATCACAACAAGAATATACTTGATATGAGTGAAAATCCAAGTGTGACTTGTTCTGTGGCAATGCTTGGGCCCAGCCCTTGTCTCAGTTGCTGGCATGAGCCACGGGTCCTGGATGAGAGAGTAACTCTGTTCATGCTGATCTCTCTCCAGCTGGCAGGGATATGTGCAGCTGGTGTCAGCTCAAGCCCTTTCTGCCTTCTGGCTATAGAATGAGCTCACCCGGGGACACCGGCGCCTGTCCCCAGGGGGATCGGAAAGAAAAGGGGTTCATGAGTGGCCATTCTCAGCTCTCTGTAAGCTGTGCTGCTGATTCTATTGGCCAAGCAAAGTGAGGTCTCACACACAACTCAGTGGCATTTCTGTCTGTCAACGCCATATCTGATTCATTTCACCATTTCAGTGAATGTTCTAGGTATCATTGGCCACTGAAGGACACGCAGGGCCCCTTATATTTGGTTAGCAGACCCAGGTGCTTTAACCAGGTCTGTAATTGCCTACCTATCAAAGAACTGGTTGAGGGCAGCCATGAACACCTTTCAGCACAACAACACCCCCCATTGTCTCAATACAGTTTAAACATGTTGATGCCCTAAATGACTTCTCTCCCAGACAGAAAGAAATGAGTGGTGGGAGGGAAGGAGGCAATGGAGAGGTAATGGCCAGAAAAGGGGTGCACACAGAGCCTTGGGCATGGGGGAGAATGGAGGATCCTGGCATGTGGGAGGAAAGGAGGAATGGGGTCACACAGAACCCCTGGCATGGAGGGAGCGAGAGGTGGGGTTGCAGGGAATCTGTGAACTAGGAAGGATAGCATATAGGGAGCTCGTGTAGTGTATCAGAGCGATGCCAGGAGCCGGGGTGAGTAGGGTGACCAGATGTCCCGATTTTAAGGGACAG